CTCTCTCTCTCTCTCTCTCTCTCTCTCTCTCTCTCTCTCTCTCTCTCCCTCTCCTTCTGATACTGGTTCCTTTTTATTTCCTTACAAGGTAAGATAAGGTATCCAACTGAGTGTGTACATTATTCCCTCTTTAAGCCAATTTTGATGAGAGTAAGGTTTAAGCTTTGCCCCCCTCATCTTTCCCTCCATTATAATAGTTCTTTTGTGCATCTTTTATGTGGAATAATTTACTTCATTTTATCTCCTCCCTCCTTCTTCTTCCAGTGCAATCTTCCTTTTCACTCCTTTATTTTATTTTAAACATTTTAAGCACCATTCCATCAAAGTCACCTTATATCTACACCCTCTGTCTATGTATACTCCTTCTAATTGCCCTTAAAATAATAAATTTCTTAAGAGTTACAAATGCTATTTTTTGCCATATAGAAATATAAAATTTAACCTTATTGAATTTCTTATGTTTTCTCTTTCTTGTTTCTTTTTTACCTTTTTATGTTTCCCTTGAGAATTGTGTTTGCATATCAAATTTTTTATCCAGCTCTGGTCTTTTAATTAGGAATACAAAGCAGTAGATTTTAAACTGTGGACCTTACTTGATTTCTCTATATTAGGAGTCAAACTGTTGAGGATGGTTACTAGTTCTGTGTGACTTGGAAGGCCCAAAATATGACCTGCTGACTTTTCCTCTATACCTTTATTTGGAAGACCCTCCTTTACTTTACAACAAACCCAATAACTTTCTTTTAAAAGAATTGGAAGGATGTTAAATAGCCTAAAACAAAAAATGGTAAACTTTACCCACATACAGACTCTCTGAAATTAGGATACACCAAATAGAAATCAATCACTGCCTGAGACAAAATATATTTGGAAAAAGTAAAAAGATAGGAAAAATATAAGATATAGGATGTTTTAAAAAAAAACTGACCTGAAAACAAGTCAATGTAAGATCATTTAAGATTTGGAGTCATGAAACCAGTCAAGATGATAAAGTAGGGGGGCATCCAGGTGGCACAGTAACTAGAGCTCTGGCCTTGGAATCAAGAGGACCTGAGTTCAAATCCAGCCTCAGACACTTAACACTTACTAGCTGTGTGACCCTGGGCAAGTCACTTCACCCCAATTGCCTCACCAAAAAGCAAAAAAAAAAAAAAAACCAGATGATAAAGTAGGAAGACAGAGTTGAGAACACAGAGTTGAGAATTCACTGAATGTTTATAATTTCCTGGCCCACACTACAAATTACATCAAACATTCATAGAAAAATTAATTCCAATTTTATAAAACTATTTACAAAATTAGAAAAAGAAGATAGCCTCCAAAATTCTTTTGATGGTACAAATAGGGTCTTGATGCCTAAACCAGGTAGAGTCAAAAGAGAAAATGGAAATTATAGACCAATATTCTTAATGAACACTGATGCAAAAAAATGAATAAATATTAGCAAAGAGGCTAGAGCATCATATCACAATATTATATACTATGATCAGGTTGGATTTATACCAGGGATGCAGAGTTGGTTCAATATTAGGGAAAACATATATTAAATGAGAAAACAGACTGAACTAAGAAAGAATAATAAAATAATATGATTTTATCAATATATACAGAAAAAGACTTCTGACAAAATATAACACTCGTTTATGTAAAAAAAAAAAACACACTGGAAAACATAGAAATAAATGGACCTTTCCTTAATGTCATAAGGAGTATATATGTAAAATTAAGAGCCAACATTATATATAAAGGGAATAAATTAAGCTATATTGATGTAAGAAAAAGCACAATACTACCTAAAATCAATTTATTTATTTGATGTAATACTAATCAAATTACCAAAATATTACTTTACAAAAAGAGAGTAAAAATTCATGTAGAGGAAAAAAAGGTTAAGAATCTCAAGGGAAATAATAAAGAAAAAAGTGTGAAGGAAGGGGACATATAAGTACCAAATCTCAATGTATACTACATAGCTGTAATAATAATAACCAGAATTACAGTGCAATAATGCAAACTTTATTGTCAACTATGTACCAGGTACTATGTTAAGTACTGGAGCTACAAAAACAAGCAAGGAAACAAAAAAGAAAGGAAGGAAGGAAGGAAAAAACAAATGTCTCTTCCTGGAAAGACCTTACAGTCTAATAAGTGCAGATAATATGCTTAAAAAGGTGGTGGTAAGGTGGCAGAGGGTCCCTGATACAAGGGCATGATGGCAATGGAGTCAAAGCCAAGCAGAGTGGATGGTGGCAAATGAAGAGATAATTGAGTCTTCTATGAAGGGAGGCTATGGGAAGAGTTTTTGCTCCACCTTATAGCCCTCCCATCAGAGGAGCAGTAGCATCTGAAGGTACTGATGGAGTGTGTGAGTACCAAAACTAAAACAATCTCCTGGAGGCCTGGGGAGGATGATGATGATGATGGTTATAGTGTAATTGAAACTAATCAGGGCAACTTTTGGCAAATAAGGATGATGTTTATTGTAGCATATCATAAATTACCTTTCAAGTCTATGGATAGAGGATAAGAGATAATGAGCATCACGTAAGATAAAATGGACAATTCTGACTACATAAACTTTAAAGTTTTTCCACAAACAATCCAATGCAACTATGATTAGAAGGGAAACAGTTAATTGGGGGAAAAGACTTTGCAACAAGTTTTTCTGATAAAGAGAAACCTTCCTAGATCTATAAGGAATTGTTTCAAATTTATAAGAGTAAGAGCCATTCCCTAACAGATAAATTCTCAAAGCATGTGAACAGG